ATCAAAGCTTAAATATACAAATAAGCCTATAGTGGAAAATTTAATTTAATTTAAGTCACCACTGCTTATACTAAGTATATTGTAATTTTATACTAAAATGAATGTTAAATTTAACACTATCTTCTATTCACTTCTGTAAATTTGGTAATATTATATATAGTATGTTCCTTCGACATACCTAAAATGTCTGTGTAAATAGCTGTTTATTATAGGACGTTCAAATAACGTTATGGGACGTATTTTAGATGTCCAACATACAACGATAAAAACGAGATATTTCAAGACATATTTCGGACATCTAAAGACTTCGAATTAGTTTGGGTAACAAAAATATCAACTCACGTGCTGTCATCAGAACGAAATCAGAAAGCGAAATCGGTGGAGGTTAATCTGCTAATAAAAAATTAGTCTGACCAAATCTATTGTCATTCTGCCGACATTCTCCTAACATTTTATTTACAAAACAGTCTCTGCTTGAAATTTGCCTTTTTGGCATCAGAAATCATATAGTAGACTCTGCTCAAAATTTGTTTCTGGCTTGGCAATCTGAGATAATTTATCTTTGAACGTACAGACTTGGCAATCTGAGATAATTTATCTTTAAACGTACATTCAATATATACCAAATAAAACTTACGTTGACAAGTATATATTATGTATGTGTGATAATAATACATAAAACTCTTAAGCTGCAATTTATTCTTAATAGCCAAAGGTTAATTATATACAAAAATTCACGAATGCATGTAAATTTTCGTATATGTACATTATTATACAGCACGTTATTTTAATAATTTATATATATATGTATTTTTTATAATTTAAAGTGTGACAAAATCTACTATGCTGTATATTTCAATGAATGGTATACTTTGAATGCAAAAAATACTCGGGACTTAGTTCTTCTAATGTTAAGAACCGGTAAACCCCTTTACCTTAACTTTGGTAAACTCTTTCCTTTAACGATGGGTACATTTTGCAGTGTAAGTTATCTTGAATTTTAAATATGATTTTGGAGCACAAGATTTCTTTTTACATGTGTACAAAATAATGTCAATGTAAGCACGATAATATTTTAGAGCGCTTAAGTAAAAACATCATAAAATATATAAAAGAATAAAGAATTTCATGTTAGCTATTCAACTGCTAAAGAGATTCTTTGTAAAATCTTATCATTGATTTTCCACTAACTCTGATGTTTTAAATTCATAAAAGATTATAGATAGAGATATCTGGAGACACTGAGGGAGACACGATAGTGTCTCGGTGTTAAGATATGGCCCGAGACACTGCTGTGCTCCTTTACGCGAGCCGGCGAGTTGCGCCAGATTGAAATAATTTTATTTCTATTAATATATTACAGGTCATTTTTGTAATTATCGCGTAGCTTAATTTGTACGCGTATAACATTTTGCTTGAAGTTTAACGTATTGCTTGTTTGTATGTTATATTTTTTATAAACTATTTATAATATATCTAATATTTCATAATATATATTATTATTTCATAATATATATTATTATTTCATAATATATATTTTTATCGTTTTTCCTTAAAAATGTCTTTTATTTACTTATTATTGTATTTTTTTTAGCTATTAAAAACGTCAGCCGGCTACATATCTGTATTACTCACAACAGGGAATCACAGTCAAAGTTTTAAATAACGGCCAAATTAATATTAAAAATACAAAGCCAATAATGAATTAACCAGAAAGTATTAATTAATTTAAAGTATGTCTTGTAAGGTACTTGAAAAGTTTACGTAGAATGATTATATGCATTGTGAATAAACTCAATATCTAAATTTTATGCTACTAATATAATATACTAACTGTTTGTTCTGCTTATTGATAAAAACCATCAAATAATATAAAAAAGACAAAAAATTAGTTTGAATAATGATGAGAAAAGAAAGGAAAATAAGTATAAGATATCTCGAGAAAACTGTCGCAATATTAGATTGAAGATAATAAATAATATATTAAATAAATTAAAAAATATATAATACAATATTATTAAAGAGATTATATATTTTTATTATATATATACACTGTATAACCGTATATACCTTATATTTAATCTGATATCACTAAAATAAAAAGCAATAACATATTCTGATATAAAAATACAATATCTCCAAAATTTAATGAAAATTTTACCATTCAGTTCTTGTTAATTAAATCTTAATATTTTATATAGAATAATAACATGAATTAATTGATGTAAAATGTATATTTAAAAAAATATACGTAGTTGCATATTGCAAATTGCACAATTTTCTTCTTAAAGCAATAATGTATTTCCTTTATGTCAATTAATAATTTATTTCACTGTTCTATAAGGTATAAAAGCATTCAGCAACAATTACTAAAAAATAACAAAAATTCACGAAATATTTTATATTTTATACTAAAATGTGCCTAAATGAACTATAATATCCTCAAATAATTAATTTTTTTATAACTTGACCTTAATATTTTTATATGCAGAATAATTAGAGGAGTCATATTATGTAAAATAAGTTCTGCAATTTCACTTTAAAAATAGATATGAGCTTCATGTAAAAGAATTTTTTTTTTTAATTAATTTGATTTATCCTCCTTTAAATCATACAACTTTTATCTAAAACAATTTTGCAAATCGGATTTAGATTTAGACATATTCTGGTGATTTATTTTATGTTTCCTACCCTATATATTTAAACATAACTTTGAAGAAATATTTTATTAAATGAGCATTTGCATAAAGTAAATTCAGATATCCTATACATTTGAAAAAATTTCATGTTTTACTGATAAAGAAAAATTTATTACAAGTAAGTATTCCTCTACTATAGACACAATAATTGAGGAAAAATTAATCAATCCTCATTATTTGTATGTTAAATAGGTCATAAAGGTAAGAAAATTATAATTATTAATTATATTCTCTACAACCTAGGAAATATCACAATATTACATTAATTTCAGTATTGCAATTATAATAGATAGTCCAAATAAACACTTAAATTGGAATAAAAGGCAATATTACATACAAATTATTGCTTACTACGCAATACAAAAACGAAAAAATATGATTCAGATCACACGCAATGCTCGAAATCGATTACGATAAGTTCGTGAGAACTTAACAGGAGGGTGAAAACCAGTTGCAAACAAGCATTTAACAACCCCTTGTTGTTACGCCAGTTTTTATCTGCTTCGAATGTTGCACACGCAAGACACTGAAAAACCTTCTACAAGAAAAGTTTAAAATTTTTTGAGCTCATCCTTTTTATGCAATAATCATTTATCACTTTAAAAAACTTTTATTAGGCACACATGCATGGAGGATTATTGGTTAAATAAAACTTCATGTCGTTCTAAGGAGAAAGTAGATGTCAGTGGATAATAAAGAAACTGCAAGAAGTAATGAAATAATAGCTCTATGATGGTGAAATTCTATTCCAGTATCATAAATATATATACGAGGATCTCCGTTGTGAAAAATGTCTACATTCGGAAAGCGAGTATATGAAAGAGTAAATTAGGCTTACTATCGTAAAATACGAAATAAAAATACCTATTTACTGTACCTAATTTCTAGGATAAAAGTAATATTACTCAAAATTGATCGTTATAAGATGACTATAGTCCAGACTATAGATACCTCAAAATCAATACCGCAACGTAAGAACATGCCTGCTTCATCTACATAACCAGCCGCATGACCAACTACTTATCAACCAGACATTACTTCAGTTATTATTCATGAATACTTCGAACATTGTTGTACTAGTAATTCTTCGCAGTTGCAAAACAAGAAGGGATCACAGGTAGAATTTTTTATACCTTCTGTCACTAAACGTCTCACATTTTCAGCAATTTTTATTATGCACATGAAATATTATCTCCCGTTGTATAGACATCGCTGTAAAAGAAACAGAGTTGTCAGTTCATCTCCTACGTTCAACATGGAACCATCAAAATATCTTGCGTATCGGAGTAGATATGATTATGGATCATTATCAAAGAAAGGTCAGATAAAATATATTTCGTCCAAAATGGGACACATAATAGCTACGTTTACACTATACCCTTAGTCCACCATCTTACAATAGGTGTCCTTGTTTATCATGTAGGGATTAAACAAAGACACTTATCATATAGGTGGCGGACTAAGTACACGGTGTAAACGTAGCCATTCTATCAAAATTTTTTTGAGACAGATTTCGAATGGGCAGTGAAGTTAAATCGATTTGGTCTAGAAATAATCGGACTTTGGCCTAAGTCCGGACAAACTACGCGGGAAAAGCGTGTGTGCAATTTACGTGTACTTCTCACTTTCTTATTAATAATACTTGTCCTTGTCATTCCTGCTATACATTCTCTGATAAGAATCCATTTTGATATTTTACTTGTGGCAGATAATTTGATGTGTACTTTACCTGTCAGCAGTTGCCTCTTGAGACTTGTAATTTTTTGGTGGAAGAGAAAAGGTAGATGAAATAGCAATTTGATCGTCACGATATGAAATGTATTTACAATATATCTTTAATATATCAGCCTAATTAATCTCTACTTTTTTGTACAATTCTAATTGAAATTATAGGTTTATTTATTTATAATGAATTTTATAGAGAAATCAAAAACGAAATAAGTTAAATTCATATCGCAGTTATTATTGGTTTTTGTCTTTTGCAATCTTTCTGAAAAGTTGTGATAGTATTTCAGTAAAAAATTATTGAAAACCAATATTTAGCGATATTTAGTAATTAATATCTCGTTAACCATTGCGAAAATCGGAAAATGGTAGAGGACTTTTGAACTCAGTTTAGTCCACTCTACCTGTTCAGGCTGGGTGGTGCCGTATTTTAATGACACCCTGTATAAGTAGTTAACATTTATTTTACTATAGTATTAATTTCTTTATTTTTGTATTCTTAAAGCTGTCGCACAAATAATACATTTGATTGCGAACGACTGGACAAAAACAACGACATCTCAAGAAAAAGCAATAATGATAGCAAAAGCACAAATTGCACGCATTATTATCACGTTTGGATATGGTATGATGGGAGCGGCCATTATTGTTATGCTTGTTTTGCCTATATTTGGTTACTCGGTGAGAAACCTATCTAATGTTACTGAAGATCTGGAGAAACCACTTTCATTGCAGACATATTATATCTACAATACGAGAAAAAGTCCACAATACGAATTCACATATGCTGCTCAATGTATTGTCTTATTCTTCTGTACTATTTGTTATACGTGCATAGATAACTTTCTTAGTCTTTCGGTATTTCATATTTCTGGTCAACTGGACATTCTGAGAAATCGTTTCTTGCATTTACATATTGTCGCCAATCTTAACAACGCTTTAAAGAGTTGTATAATGGATCATACAAGACTGCTTAGGTATGCTTAGTTCTATATACATATTCCTATATATAATATATATAATATATATA